GTGGTCATAGCGGTGAAATTTATGCGGCAAAATTCAGTCCCGATGGAAAATGCTTGGCATCTGGTGGCTACGACATGTGTGTTTGTAAGTGATGTTTTGATGCATTTCCTAGGCAATGACGAATAACTACTGGGTGATAAATTCAAGTGTTGGTAAATGGAATAATTTGGATTTAAGGTATAAAAGAAAATTGAAAATAATATAAAAAGGCTGTCTGTTAGAAGACCTTCAGAAGCGGAAGCACTTCGGATTCAAATGGCACACTTCCAGTGTTTTTATTATCAAAATTCGATTGTGTTCCTCTCCACCACGGTGTTGGGCCAACGACGCCAAACAAACTGCATATGTTAACGCATAGACGCGATTTCGGGCCCCCATCCTCTTCCAGCCTCCTAGCCAAGGATATTCATTGTTTGTATCTTTAAAATTTCTACAACTCTTAAAGCAGTCCAGTTGGTAGCACATGCCAACAGCAGCGAGCTGTTGATAAATCTATATGTGGCTTACTCACTAGAGGTGATGGGAGGCACGCCAGCAGAAGTTAAGCATCAGAACGAAAATTTTACAATAAAATTTTGAAAAATGCGTTTTCCCATTAAACCATATGCCGTAGCGGCGCATTTTCATGCAGATTTTATGCGAATTTGTTTTTGATGGTCATTAAAAATTTTCAGTTCTGTGGAATGTCTATGGAGAATGCGAGAATTTTTCGACTTTAAAAGGACACACTGGTGCTATTATGGATGTTCATTTCAGTAGTGATGCAGGGTAAATTTTTTCAATGGATTTTTTCAACTTTTATTTGCTCTCTTAATTGGAGGTGGTACTTTTTGCAGAAAATTTACTCCAGGAACCTAAAGTTACATCTGCAACCAACACAAGGGATCTTTTCAATAAATCTGCTGCAAGGACAGAAAAAAACTCGACGTTTTTGGGTCCTAAAAGTTTTGAAAGATGTGGCAAGGGGGTTTTTTTTACAAAAATTCAGCGTAAAAATTGTAGATGAGCGAGGTGATCATACGTGCTTACATCGTAAAAGATGGAGAAAGGGGAACTTAAAGCCTTATCCTCCCGTACTGCACTCTTTGTGGGAAGTGAAGGCACTCGGAATTACCCGGTGGAGTAGCAAATGCCGGCAGCAGCTACGTGCTGGCTTTCTTGCATTTTTCTCGATCTCTTTCTCTTTTTTGTTCCTTTTTTCATTAAACGTTACGACCATCATACTGACGAGGTCCTGTCACAATGTTGAGTTGAGACGTATATGACTTAATTGGACCGAAACGTCTTATCTCATTCTCGCCACCTTTCCTCATTCTTTCCTACTTTGAATCCAATACGCTTTCGACACTTTGGATGCCCAAGGTCAACCAGGATGCTACAGTCGGCTTATCGGCGGCTTCGTCTTCCAAGTATTTTCAGTAGAAGCTGATGGCGGGTTTGATTCTCTGGATTATGCCTCAGTACCAGTGTGCTTATGTATTTTAATTCTTACTTTTGCAGCTATTTGATCACAGCATCATCCGATAAAACAGTACGTGTTT